ATCTCAAATTCGACTATTCCAACTTTTAAAGCTCCAGATTGCAACCGTTCCGCCATCATTACATAACCGATAAAAAGTGATTAAAGGGCTCATTATCTTGACTTTTAATAATGCAACAACAGAATCTTAAATATTCCAACACTTAAATAAGTAATTAAACGAAAATGTAAAAAAGCTAACCAAGGCCAGGGCTATCTCTAAGCTCGTATTTCATGTGCGAATTCCTCGAAATAAACCCATCGTCGTCCAGCGACTGCGGCAGCACATCCACCGTGGCAGCTCCGTCATTCCTCGCTCTTCGACTACCCTCCCCAGCCGTGGGCAGCCCGTTCGCCCCCAAATTCTTCCCGCCGTCTGATTCCCTCCGTTTCCTCACAGGCGGCGTAAGCTCCTTATCCTTCTCTTTCGCCCTATCCCTCGCAACTACAGCCTCTCCGTTGGAAGTGGGGCCCTGCCTCGGGGCAACCGGCCCAGCTTCAAGGTCCAGGTTACTATCCGGTTGCTTGGGCTTCGCCTGAGCCTGTTCCTGGACCGGAGGTTGAGCCGGGGGAAGGGGCAAAGTGGTAATTTGACCGGAGTCACTGGCATTAGTCTCGCCGGAGAATTTAGGACGGAAACCAGTGCGCTTAGCCCAGGAGGAAGGCGGCATTGCGGCGGAATCGGGTGCGGGTGGCCATGGTCCGGGTCGGGGCTTCTTGCTAGGGTCGGAGCTCGCCATTTAAGCAGCTGCTACCACAACTAGAAATGCATAGCTACAGAGAAGATTGAGAGTGTAGAACAAGCATAGAACAGAGGAATTAAGAACTCAGAAATCGAATGTGGAAGCAGATCTGAAGTTGGTGTTAGGGTTTTAGAGTTAAAACGATGGATAGAGATTAGAGAGAGAAAGAGGAGAGAGAGAGTGTGTGTGTTTTGGTGGGTGCGGAAAAGAAAGAAAAAAATCTAATAGGAGTGAGAGAGTGTGTACTGTGTGGGAGTGAGTGAGAGAGATAGTAACGAAAGGCTGAGTTAGTATGTGTTTTTGTGTGTGAGAGAGAAAGTGAGAGAGGAATCGGAGTTAAATACGTCCGGCACCCGCGTTTAACTTTTCTGTCTATATATTTATTGTAATTTAAATTTATATTCGTATTTAGTATCGAATCTTTTATGGGGAAACTACAGATAAATCCCTAATCCAAAACTCAACACACAGATCAGTCCCTAGGTAGTTTCCCCAAGCAATTCAGTCCCTATTCACGCGTCTGACATGCAGTTCAGTCCCTAATGTGATTTTTATATATTTTATTATATTTTCTCTCTTCTTTTTCACTCTCGCCCTTTTCTCTCTCTTCTTTTTCTCTCTCTTAATCTTCTCTTTCTTCTCTTTCTTCTCTGTTTCTACTGCTCTCTTTCTTCTCTATTTCTTCTCTCTTTCTCTCCTCTGGTTTCCTCTTTTTCCGACGAAAAAATCACTGTAAAACCCACCCACCCCACAATGGTTTCGAATCCCGGAAGGTTATTTTACTGTTGCCCACACCATGGCTACTCCCATTGGTGTGAACCATTTGAAGTTGGGCAAACTTTTTCCAACTCAAATCGTGAAGAAAATGAAGCTACAAGTGCGTCGATGAACCAAGTCCATCAAGAAAGTGAAGTGAAGAATTGCAATTCTGAAGGTGGAGTAGTTCATAGTTTGATAGTGTTGAATCTAGTAATATTTGCAGTCTACATGCTATGTAAAACATATGTACTGTTGTTTAATTAGTGAACATAAGAGTACAATGTATAAGCTGGTAAAGTTCGGGTTATTCGTGAATATAGTACGCTTTGTCCACCAAATAAGTACAATGTATAAGCTGGTAAAGTTCGGGTTATTCGTGAATATAGTACGCTTTGTTCACCAAATAAGTACAATGTATAAGCTGGTAAAGTTTGGGTTATTCGTGAATATAGTACGCTTTGTTCATCAACTAAGTACAATGGATACACATGTGAAGTACAAGTGATTCGTGACTATAGTACGATTTGTTCACTGATAAAGTATATGTTTGCCATTTATATAGTATTGTTACAGTCTATATATTATTGTCGGTCCAATGCATCCATATGATCGCATTTTAAGACACAACTCTTCATTTTAAGACTATTAAGAATGAATGGAGACAATGTGGGAGTTGATCAATATCGATTATGGTAACAATTGGAAAAAAAAAAAAAAAACAATAGAAGAAAATATTAGTTTTACACTTGAGCATTGTAGACTTGTATGAATATATTGTATAGTATATGAGTATCATGTATGAAATTCAACATATTTATGGGATCTTGTATTCCAAACGCAACAATAATTCTCACCTACCTTAAAATAACCATCTAAAACATAATTTATGCATCTCCCGTACTTATTGATCATTAAAGCGTCAATGAAATTGGTACAATTCAATTCATCAAAAAATATGGTACGCTTTGTTCATCAAGTAAGTACAATGAATACACATGTGAAGTACAAGTGATTCGTGACTATAGTACGATTTGTTCACTGATAAAGTATATATTTGCCATTCATATAGTATTGTTACACTCTATTTATTATTGTCGGGCCAATGCATCCATATGATCGCATTTTAAGACACAACTCTTCAGTTTAAGACTATTAAGAATGAATGGAGACAATGTGGGAGTCGATCAATATCGATTATGGTAACAATTGAAGAAAATATTAGTTTTACACTTGAGCATTGTAGACTTGTATGAATATATTGTATGGTATATGAGTATCATGTATGAAATTCAACATATTTATGGGATCTTGTATTCCAAACGCAACAATAATTCTCACCTACCTTAAAATAACCATCTAAAACATAATTTATGCATCTCTAGTACTTATTGATCATTAAAGCGTCAATGAAATTGGTACAATTCAATTCATCAAAAAATATGGTACGCTTTGTTCATCAAGTAAGTACAATGAATACACTTGTGAAGTACAAGTGATTCGTGACTATAGTACGCTTTGTTCACTGATAAAGTATATGTTTGTCATTCATATAGTATTGTTACACTCTATTTATTATTGTCGGGCCAATGCATCCATATGATCGCATTTTAAGACACAACTCTTCAGTTTAAGACTATTAAGAATGAATGGAGACAATGTGGGAGTTGATCAATATCGATTATGTAACAATTGAAGAAAATATTAGTTTTACACTTGAGCATTGTAGACTTGTATGAATATATTGTATAGTATATGAGAATCATGTATGAAATTCAACATATTTATGGGATCTTGTATTCCAAACGCAACAATAATTCTCACCTACCTTAAAATAACCATCTAAAACATAATTTATGCATCTCCCTACTTATTGATCATTAAAGCGTCAATGAAATTGGTACAATTCAATTCATCAAAAAATATGGTACGCTTTGTTCATCAAGTAAGTACAATGAATACACTTGTGAAGTACAAGTGATTCGTGACTATAGTACGATTTGTTCACTGATAAAGTATATGTTGCCATTCATATAGTATTGTTACAGTCTATATATTATTGTCGGGCCAATGCATCCATATGATCGCATTTTAAGACACAACTCTTCATTTTAAGACTATTAAGAATGAATGGAGACAATGTGGGAGTTGATCAATATCGATTATGGTAACAATTGAAGAAAATATTAGTTTTACACTTGAGCATTGTAGACTTGTATGAATATATTGTATAGTATATGAGTATCATGTATGAAATTCAACATATTTATGGGATCTTGTATTCCAAACGCAACAATAATTCTCACCTACCTTAAAAAATAACCATCGAAAACATAATTTATGCATCTCCCGTACTTATTGATCATTAAAGCGTCAATGAAATTGGTACAATTCAATTCATCAAAAAATATGATACGCTTTGATCATTGACTGCAATCTTCTTTTACATCAAATCCTGCAATTACATACACATAAAACTACAATTATAACAAATACAACGTACTATAAAGTTCCACATGTCAATACCATCCAAAGTTACTAGTAATACCATTCAAAGGCACTAGTAATACTATTATGGCATATGACTTACACTACAGGACCATCAAACATTATACTTATAGTACCATATGTCAATACCATCCAAAGTCACTAGTAATACCATTCAAAGGCACTAGTAATACTATTATGGCATATGACTTATACTACAGGAGCATCAAACATTATACTTCTAGTACCATATGTCAATACCATCTAAATGCTTTCGGGACAGTACTTCGAGTACCCTGTGTCAATACCATCTAAATGCACTATTAATACCATTACTGTCCATGACACATACTATAGGACCAGTACGAAAAATACAATAAGCCTCTTTCGCATATCCTATATGAAACCCTTGTTAAACCCTTTGGGGACATGCTAATGTCACCGAAGAATAATACCCATGAGGAAACTGTTACAAAATCATGAAATTCGACAACAAATAAATGATCTTTGCAAACCCAAACAACTGAAAAACAGATATTGGAACCGATTTAATGATTAGGGAAAACACCGAATAAAGTCGAGGCATAATACCCATGAGAGGATATTTCAAAATCATGCAATTCTACAACAAATAAACCTTTTTGCAAGCTTAAGCAACACCCAAATGGGTCTGTTTCCAAGAAAATGAAAGAAAAAAAAAAATCAAACCTTGTTGTTTACCCTGCTTCACCATTGTCGAGAAATGGGTTTGTTTATTTTTATTTTTCCTTTCGTTGTATAATTTTTCTGCGTTTTGTTGATTCTTCGTGCTTCGTTGTTTCTTCCTTCTTTGTTGTTTCTTTGTTCTTCGTTTCTTCTCTGTTTCTTCTTTGTCTGTAAATGGGTATAAACTGAACGGTGGTTTTTTTCCTGCGCCTTTTTAGCTTCTTTCTTGTTGTTTGATTTTTGAAATGTAACAGGCAAAGAGCGTGTAACACAAACGGCGCGTTGGAGGTTGGAAATAAGTTATGTAAAATTAGTATAAAGTAAAGGGTATTTTAGTATTTGCACATTTTATTAGGGACTGAACTGCATGTTAGGCGCGTGAGTAGGGACTGAATTGCTTGGGGAAACTACCTAGGGACTGATCTGTGTGTTGAGTTTTGGATTAGGGATTTATCTGTAGTTTCCCCATCTTTTATTTTACTTCACCAATATATATTTATAATCTTTTTTGCAAATTTACTTGAAGACCCCTGAAATTTGAAGACATGCTTCGGTAAGTATCATTTTGATTTTTAATTATTTTCTTCTTTTGTTGAGAAATTTAAAATTCGTAAATATTATTTTAATTGCGTTGTTTATTAATAGTAAGTGACTGTTGGGAAGTTTTATATGCATGCACGTGGGATTGTTAATTATTATCCTAAATCCTAATCCACAATCTATAATACACGTTACTCATGTTTTATTCCATGTGCCTCCAACACGCTTAATTATGCTAGTTAATAACTGGGGTTACTGTAGTAAATTAGTAATT